GCACCCGCCCGTGCCCCCCGCCGGTGCCGGCGGGCCGCTTGCGGGGCAACCGCGCAAGAGCAGCTCGTCCCGTCGCAACGCGTGGGGCAATTTGTCCTATGCCGACCTCATCACCAAGGCCATCGAGAGCTCGGCGGAGAAGCGGCTCACGTTGTCGCAGATCTACGAGTGGATGGTCAAGAGCGTGCCCTACTTCAAGGATAAGGGCGACAGCAACAGCTCGGCGGGTTGGAAGGTGAGTGGCCACGGAGAGCGTGGCCGGTCCGGGAGGGGGCGGGAGGACTCCTGCCTTCATTTGTGGTAGCAGGTGAGGGGGCCCGGTTTTGCAAGTTCGCCGGGTCTGAAAGTGCAGGGCACGCGGGCAGCGCGTGCGAGAGTCGAGGCGAAGTGGCTCTTGTGGGTAGTGGGCTCTCCTGGGGCAGGTCGGGGGACCGGGATCGGTGTGTGTGCGCGCAGACCAAATGGGAGGGAGAGGAGAGTTGGAGTGGGACGGGGCTGGGACTCATTTGGGAACGAAGGGAGTGAAAAGAAGGACGCCCAGAAATGGACTTTAGAGGAGGCGGAAAAGTTTGTCAGTGAAAGGAGAAGGTAGTTCGTGGGGGATCTGCACCCCCAACAGCCCGCGCGGACTCGGGCCACTGCGCCTTTTCCTCCCAGACCTCGGGGGTGCGGGCGGCTCCTCCCCGCCCCCGCGGCGCGCGTTCCCCCCACTAGCCTTGGGCCTCGCCGCTGAGCGGTTTCCGCCGCGCTGGGCGGGGAGGCCGGTCGCCGGAGGCCTGGGCTGCAGGTGGCGGGGGTCGGGCAGGCGCTGGCCGACCGGTGTGTGACTGACCGAGCAGTGTTTGGAGCCCGGTGTGCACTTCGATTTGATTTTACCCAAAGTGGCCTAGAGTGCGTGTCGCCCGTGCGCGCGGAGCCCAAGGTAACTCAGCGCATCCTACACGTGGGATGGCGCGGCCACCTCCTGCCGAGCGACGGCGCCCGGTCGCGCGAGGCGAGCAAAAGTTCAAGTGTGACCCTCGGCTGGGGCGGGGGCGGGAGCTGGCGGCAGCGAGGGAGGGGCCGCGGGCGCAGGAAGCAAGCGCCTTTAAAGGGCCAGCGCGTACCGGCCGTGTGCGGCCCTGGCCGGGCGGTGAAGTCAGCATTTGTCCACGCGAGGTAATGACCCCAAACAGCCTCACGCATGGTCCAGGGCACTCATTAGGCACGGAAGGATTTTTCTGGGATCAGGACAAGGGATGTGTCAACGTTCTCTTGCTTTGCCATTCTAGTGTTATTGAACCTGGAGGTGCAAATCCCAGGGGGAAAAACCGAGAGGTGAGGGAGGGGGGCCTTTGTGACAAGTGTTTTGGGGGGATGGAAGTGGAGGTGTTCAGAGGAATGGACTGGGGAGGACCGAACACGAGGTGCCTCAGGCCACTTTTGCCACTTGACGCACTTTTTGAGGGTAGGCACATCCCTTCCCTTAAGGGCAGAACGCTGGACGTTTACTGAGGATCTTTTCGGGGATCCATTCGCTCGGGCTTCTTGAAACTAGCAGTTTCTTATTGTCGCTGGTGGAACTGATGTGAAGTTTCTGTAGTTGAGTCGAGCTCCTTCCTCTCTCTCATTAGACTGTACAGCCTAATAAAGATTGATGTTTGCTGCGCAATTGTTACACCACTGTCGTCTTCATGGTTAATGTCTCAGAAAGGTCAGGTTACTGACTATTTGAAGTTCTTGGAGGAGTCAGGGTTTTACTTTTTCCAAAGTGTGTTTTAGAGAAAAGGTATAACCTCATTACTGGCATTACGTGCAATTTTACCAATTTACTTAAAAAGATGTATCTCCTTAAACTTACAGTATAATTTAAAGTCACAAAATTGGGCTTCTCTGTCAAGTTCAATTTTACTTCATATTTGGATTTTACTTATTTGATATCTGTCAGCCCTATGTAAGTTATTATAAAGTATTGCCACTAAAAATTACCTTCTATCCCTCTTTTAGCATTTAAAATACAGAATGTCCTTTACACCATTCTTTAAGCTTGCTGGAGTGCCTTTATTTAAAAATAGAAAACGGTAATGTTTGGAGATTTTAATTTTGCCTCATTTCCCTGATTAAATAAATGACTTTAAATTAGGGCATTCTTACATCAGTAATATAATGTAAAGTTTTACGATTCAGTGCTTTACAAAGAAATTCTACAACCAAATAAGCCCCCTCATCATTTTTAATAGATTTTTGGTCTGTGTCCTCCTCCTCCAACGTAATTACTATTTTATTAAAAAAAAATTTTTTTTTTTGAAACCAGAGCTTGAATACTGATTCAGTGTTATTAAGGACTATCTGTCTAGAATTGGAGTCCTAAGGAAAACCTAGTGCGACTTTGAGAGGGAACAGGTTGCCATTACAAATGAGTAAATGTTTCAGGTATAACCAGTCAGTTAGTTGGTGTAAGTCAGATTACAGCAAATGCATTTTCACTTTGAGTAAAAGGATATTTTAGGAAGAAAAGAAGCAACTTGAAGTATTCTAACTCATAACTAGTCTATTAGAGTTTTCATAAAAATGAGTTACTTGTTAAAACCAAGTTTCACTCTCGGATCTGACTCTCCAGTTTTTAAGGTTGATAAAAAGAAATTTTATTGTACCTTAAAATTATAAAATGCGGGTCACTCAAAGTTTATCTGCTAGGACAGTAGAGGTTGCTTTGAAGCTAAATATTTCCTGTGATTCATTGGTGGGAATTAGACTGACTCTGGTAAAATATAGTTTCTTCTGCTTTATTTTCTGGGGCCTGTTTGGGAATTTGAAAGTCATTTGCATAGGACAAAATAGTTGCAAAGATGTTAACGAGTTCGAAAATTTTAATATTAGCTAAAACATCATCAGGTTGCCACCGTAAAGTGGAAGTTAAGAATTTTGGAAAACCCGGGATCTTTTAAATCATGTACAGTATTTATAAATAGTGAAACTTAACTTGGATGGTCTTTTTTCTCACATACAAACTTTCTAAAGCTTGGCAAGAAATGTTCTGAGCTTTGATTTTTTTTTTTTAAAGGGAAGTTTTGAGTTGACTCTTGCTTTTTATTTTGATATTATTTGGAATACTTAATTTAGCTTAAAAGAATGCTTCAAAAATAAGACAGTACTTGTTAAGGCAGTTTATCTTGTCATCTTTATTTTGGAATGAATTGTCTTTAATTTGGCCTAAGAAATGGCAGGAATTTTAAGATACCAGAAAATGCACTATCTCCTATATACTTCTGAGTTTTTAATATGCAGGTAGGTAAATTCATCACAGAGATTCCAGGTAGGAAGATTCCTGACTGTTTTCTTGCTCCACAGTCACATTTGACTTAAAGAATCCTGGTGAGGCTGACTTCTGGTTCACGGTAAAGTAAACCTTTTATAAAAGTTGGCTGAAGACTTCAATTATGTATTTAGGGAAGGGAGCAGGAGGAAAGGGAATTAAAAAGCAGGCGAGGGACTCCGCTGCCAAGTTTGGCATCTTACTTGCAAAAGGCTCAAAGTTGCTCGCAGCTGATGTGAACGCGTCTTAGGACTCAGAAACTTTGCTCAGAAATTGCAAATAAATGTTGAATGTGAATACCTTAACGAAAACTCATAGTAATTTTATTTTATCTATGGTTGGTTGGCATTTCTCTTGGAGATTTGGCAGAAGGGATGGCTTCTATTTTCCTGTGATACTAAGCATTTTTTTAAAGTAGCAAATATTTGAATACTGGAAAAAGACATTTTTCTCATTAACTTTGAAAAGAGTTTATTGAGACACATTGCCACCCCCATTATTGTTGATTATAGAAGCAAACATCATTAGCAGTCTTATGCTACACAATATTTTAAGTGGACCTATAAAATGGGGATGAGGGGAAAGAATCTTCAGTTGTTAATTACAGTCTTGATAAGCTAGATGATCTGTGTTTGTTGTCCTTGTGCTCTAGCTACCTTTAAACACCTAAACTGCAGATTCTGTTTTAGACTTTCTAAGAGAACAGCTGTCTGTATTGCCAGAATTTCTTCGGGAAGCCTGAACTATTTGCATTTTTCTGGAACACTCTGCCCTTGGAAACTACCCAATACCCTGGCATCATGGGAATCTACTTGGCCTTTTTATTTTTTCTCTCCTGTGTCTCTGTGTGCTGTAACTTTGGGGCTTCCTGGAATCCTCTGGAAAAGGCAGTGCGAGCCCCCACTGTGACTGAAGAGTCCAAAAGGACTTTGCAGTAGTGTGGAGCAGGAGCTGAAGGGAGGGGTACAGAGTAGATTCAGCTCTGCTTTCCTGCAGCTCAAGATTTGCCTTGGCCTTCTTAGTAACAACTTGCAGAGACTTGCCCAAAACCCCTCCCCCTCTGTACACCTCCCAGGGGTCAGATAACCAACCACCTTTTCTCCAAGCACATAAAATTATGAAGTTGGTGTAGTTGTTTCTCAGTTTTGAAACAGAGAGGACCAGATGAACTTGCAAAAAAAATGTTTGTTTTGTTGTTTGCCAGGGTGAAGGCTTGCATTGCAGTGGATGTGCTATAGATACCAATGTACTGAAGTCTGTAGTAATTTTCCCTTTTTGTGAATTCCAGACAGGGACTAACAAAATCAAGTCAGTGGCACAGAACTTCTTTGCAGAGAATTAAGTATCTGTTATTGGTGGTCTTAAAGGAACCCATGAAACTACATTTCTATATATTGTCGATATCTTATGGTTCAACTTTTAACACCCCTGCCCCCATATCCCAGTTTGTTCATCCTGCTAGGTTTATCAACTTGTTGTTACATACCACCAATACTTAGTCTGGCTTGAGTTATTCCTGACACTTGGCAGGAATTTTGGCTGTCTCTCCCCATCCCCCCTTTTTTCTATCCCTTTTTCATTCATCCACATAGCTTTTGTGTACACTAGAAGAAAAGCAAACTAGTTTTGATGTTAAGCCAAATAAAATTATAAAGCTAAACATGCAATCCCTTTTTAGTTACTGAATTTTTACTGTAATGGATTACTTACATAGGGCATGAATTCACCATGTGTCCTTTATTGCCATATTATTACAGAAAAAAATAAAGTTGAGACAGAACTGCATGAGGAGTCTCTGTAGCCCCCAATTCTGGGTTCTTGATGTTTGCTGAAATTGCTCTCTACTACTTACTAGTCACTCAGACTGGGAAGGGTAGTGTTTAATTTCTTACCCTTTCTCAATTTTTCTTTGATCACCTCCTCTGTAGAAATTCCTTCTT